CATGATGCTATGAAATCAGGATTTCAGAGGGAACCATTAGCCTTTTAATGCGTCTCACTTCTTGTACTTGTTTGTTTGTTGAGATCGTCACCTTGATCCGTTTGCACAGACAGGACGTCTCCGGTTTGTGAAGTCCACCGCATTCGCCGGTTTTCAACGGTCTTGCTATAAAGCACTATTTACTGCATTACGAAAGGAAACATTTTTTTCTGAAAGCAGATCTGCCTCTATCTTGTTCCTCCACTTTGCCTGTGGGCCTCTTGTTTGATATCTGGCGTTTTTCGACTCAGGCGCGAGAATCGCATGTGATGGAGTGAATGATTAGTGCTCTGAGGTCATCTGTTCCCGGAATAGAGCCGTTATTTAACAGAAGATACTCGTTGTACGGCTACAAAAGATGCTGGTGGTTTCAGTTTCTAATTGAAGAGAATGCCCTCTAGATCTGAACAATAACATCAGCAACTGCATGGAACTGTAATTTTATGGTTAAAATTATTCGAATAGTAGAAGACCAGATTAAGAATAATCTAGTTTCTAAAGAGTGAATGGCTGATGATTCGAAATTCTATATCATTTTTCTTCTTTTCACTCAATCTGTTCATTTTGATTTTTCTCAGTCAGCAAATTGTTTCATCTATGTATCTTTTGGCAATGCTTCAGGTAATGCCGTATTGTTCCCGCAGTCATAAAACAGTAGTTTCTGTCATCTTCTTGCCATATTACATTTCTGATTCATCAAGTCATTCTTTCTCCTTTCCATGCATTATTTTACCTTGAGTCAAATTTTATTATCCCTTGCATAAATCGCCCTTCCCAGTGTTTCTCCTGCCATCGTTTGCTTATAACACTTTTTTAATTTGCATAGTCCTATGTGTGAAACTTACCTGTGCACGTGTGGTCAATTTCAGATGAGTTTGCAAGACGTCCTTTCGTACGATATGATTCACACTATGAAACCTCGGACTAACCAAAGGACCGACTATGAAACATCAGCAATAACTCCTGAGATTGACAGTGAACGACACCTGGTCTTCAACTTCGATGCCTTTGCGACAAATAAAACCTGGTACTGGGAGTTTCCAAAGCAGTTTCTAGACGATAAGGTATTTACGTCTATTTGTGTTCCATTCTACTACTCATTACTTGCTTGATTAAGGTTACCAGTTATGGAGGATATTTGAATTACACAATAAATTACCGTGGTTCAGGCGAAGAAAACGAAGACCCGATGGTGATACTGAGGGTAAGCCGCAATCTATGCGTTTCCTATGACTAATACACCAGTTCAACGTTCAGGGCAAGAATCTAAGCCTGAACTACTTTTATCCACACGTCGTGCCGCCGGAAACGGAATATACCATCTCTGTGCTGATTGATGAGGTTACAAAATTAGCATTAATAAAAATTAATTACGGCCGATGCGTTTCCTTCAGAACAGCTGGTCTAACGATAAAAAGGCGACACCGACCCGTTCGGAATTTTTGCAGACTCTGTCTAATTTAAAGGAGGTGCTGCTTAGACTCACGCACAGGAAAGTCATGAATGACATCAAGTCTGTTGAAGAACCGTGCTGTACGCACTTTGCGGCATTAGCGTGTTTTCTTCAGGCTAATTGACGTTACCATGGACTACGCCACACAGGCGTTCGAAAGCCAGGAAAAGGCGTGGAACATTGAACAGTGTGTCTGTCCTACTGGCTACGACGGTACGTCATGCGAGGTGAGCAGCCTGTAACTGCGGATGGCATCGAAACTGACCGTCATTTACAGAAATGCGCAAATGGGTACAGTCGGACGGATGAGGGAACCT